CCACAGCCCGCCTCACCGTCCGTGAAGCTTCCGTGGTCCGCTGTTCCGGCTTCGATTTTCGACCCTCCCGAGGCTGCTAGAGCAGCCCTGCGGAGCCTCCCGGATGCACCAGCACACCGTCGTCCAGGACGACGGCGCATGCGCTGCCCAGTGACCGGGCGGGTCGGCCCCGACTAGGGCCGGGCCCAGCCGCGCGGAGAAGACCACCGAGCTCGAAACACGTCGCCGCGGCCGGCCGTTTCGCAAGCCTGAGCGGGTCGCCAGACACCCGCGAGAGCCAGCAGCTAGAGCGCCGTCGTAGCCGCAGATCGAGTCGAGGAGCTTGATGTCCACGGTAGCAGTTGTGGAGAGTGGTGGGACGGTGCGTGTAGACGCGTCGATTGAGGGCTCTTTTTCGAAACGCGACGGGTACGGCTTGACAACTGCCAGCACAGTTTTACGCCGGCCAGCGTGAGAGCAAAACAGGGATCCGGCGACCCGTACGCTTTGCGCGTGGCGACCGGTGGCTGTCTGGAGCTCGTGCGAGCTGGTCCGACGCGTGGCCGAGCCGAGAGGACCAGCGAGCGACCACATTGGCGATGAAGCTTGGCGGCCGGCGCCTCGTCGCCAGACGTCACAGCGGCGTGGACGCAGGAGTGTGAGGCGACGAGTGCCGGCAAATCCGGCCCGGTGTGGCCGGCAGCTGCCTAGCGCTGGCCTGTGGCCGGCGCCGCGGTGGCGGAAGAGGCGTCTCGCCGCCGTGGCGGCGGTCGGCAGGTGCGAGCGTGATGGCCATCGTGCGGCAGACCGGCAGAGTCCGAAGGCAGATTTTCTCGAACAGCTCTTGCTACGGGGGCGGGGAACTCTTGTCTTGTGGTTCTGTGTGTCGCTCCTGTGTGACCGCCACCGCCCGTCTTGCGTCCACCCATACCGCGTTGGTGTCCCAGTCGTTGGTCGGACTGTGTTTCGCCTTCCCATCAATCAAAAAAGAGATACTCTGGGCACCCTTTGTCTGTTCCATCACTTAGTATTAATGAGAGAGAGAGATTTTTAGCAATACCAAACATTCGCCGAGTTTAGTCTCTAGAG